TAACCCAAGCCCTCACCCGGACTAGGTCCAGCTCGTTCATCCCTGTAACACCAGCACTCAATGCAGTGCCAGGTGCCTGATAAAGGCGAGAGGAGGGGTACCTGGGTGACTCAGTGGGTTAGGCCTCTGCCTTCAGCTCAGGTCATGATCTTGGGGTCCTGGGATCAAGCCCTGCATCGGGCTCTCTGCTCAGCAGGGTGTCTGCTTCCCTCTCTCTCTCTGCCTGCCCCTCTGCCTACTTGTGATCTCTCTCTCTGTCAAATAAATAAAATCTTTAAAATAAATAAATAAATAAAGGCGAGAGGACACAGGACCTCTTCTCCTTCCCACCCCATCTCCCTCTAGCCTCTTAGGTTCCTACAAGTGGCAATAAAAAAAAATTTAAAAATTAAAAACAATAGCCACTACCACCCAGAAATCCCCAGGAGGAAAGTGCACTTGCCCTGCAAAGGAGAAAATTATGAGATTTCATGCTGATCCATAGAAAGCTGAGAAAAGCAGGCAACTGGTGACATGTCCTGAACCAGAAGGTCATACATGGTATCGCAACAGAAAGAAATGCAGACAGTCAAGTGCTGGCACACAAATCCAGCCACCAAGGCACAGGCAGGTCCCATTTCCTCCCTAGTCCACCTGGCATACGGTTCCTCTCTCTTGCACAAAACGGCATGGCCTTGCAGACTCCGGAAACCAACCGTCGTGGCCTGTAGGTGCTCTGTCGCAGGAGGCACGGCAGTCTCGCGTTAGCACACATCTTCGGCGACAGGTACTGCCAACTGACAAAATGCCAGAAGCAGGAGAGGTGGCCATCAGTGGGCAACCAGTGATGATCCCTTGCATTCCTTGTCACAGGGTGGTGTGCCACGGAAGGGCTGGAGGCAGCTGGGACCAGCTCAGGAGAGCCTCCCATGAGCACGACTTCCCAGCTCCACTGGGGTGACGTCAGCTTGGTTGTGAGCTATCTGCCTTGGCAGGAGGTGTACACCACAGACAATGGCAAACGCCACAAAGCAGCGCCTTTTAAGTTCATTTCTCAGGGTGAGTTATTATACGGTTACCTGCATATAACTAGTTATTGGTAACACTGTTGGCGTGTCTCAGACTTGGGTCCAGTGCATCCCGTGCGGACAGGCACTTACTGCTCTCTGAAAGGAACGCTGTCCATTTCCTATGGTGCTTCAAGTTTTCAGTTTCTCATTAATTTTCTGGAAAAAAGCGGTATCCTTATCAGCAAGGGCCCTGAGTCTCACTTGTGCATCCATTTCACTCCACAAATCAATCCCTCCCTCCTTTCCGGCATTCTTTTCAAATATGTCCATCCCCAAGTGTCACTCACCATTTCCTTTTGATTTTGTAAGACCCTCTCTCGACCTTACATTGTCCTCCCCTTCAGAGCCAAGCCTTTCCAAATACACTTGTGTCCCCCAGCTCCCCGTAAGCTCCCGCCCACTCCTCACCACAGAAAGCGGCTCTCAGGTCAAGGATGACGGAGGTACCAAAGCCTCAAAGGGCGCCTCAGTCCTTATTTGATCCAGTGACACTCCCTCCTCTGGAAGCCTCTTGGAACTCCGTGGCCCCATTCTCTGCGGTTTGCCCTCTCCCTCTATAACTCATCCTTCTCCGTATACGGGGGTTCCTTTTCTTGTCCTGAATCAGTGATATAAATACATAGAAGACCCACCCAACTGTCAGTTATCAATCCTGCTGGGGGGCTGAGGGTGCAAAGTCTATAAAACTTACAGATTGTCCACATGTTCCACCAAAGTGTGGAATTCTAAAAAATCAAGTGACCCCAAAGTTTCATCCTGCTCTATAAAACACCTCTGGTGGCCCACTGTCAACACTGGCCCACAGGGTGCTGGGGTCACACGCAAGCTGCGGTCTCCCAACTCCATTCTCGTCCAGGCTACTACGTTCTAGATCTGCATCCTCACAAGCTGGAAAGCCACCTCCACCCAGGGTCTTCCGTACACACCTCAAACCCAGCACTTCACCCCACCCCTCTGCTACACCCCCTCCCAATCGGGGCAGGGCCCCAAAAGCATGCAGACACAGGGGCCTTAGACCTCCTATCAGTCATGCTGATTCTGTGTCCAAATTCCCCTCAAATCAAGCCACTCGTCTGGATCCTCAAGCTATTCCTCTGTTTCAGGCCTTCATTTACCACCTAAGTTAGGGCAAAAATCGAATGGGACTCCCTGGGTGTAATTTCCCTTCTTCAATCTATCCCTCAAACTATAACCAGAAAAATCTTACTAAAATACAAATCATAACATATCACCCTTCCAACTAAGAGCCCTCCACAAATCCCTAATCACTATATTAAATCTGCAACTGGTCACAACAGCATTGAAGAAAAACTCCAACTGGGGACGCCTGGGTGACTCAGTGGGTTAAGCCTCTGCCTTCGGCTCAGGTTAAGATCGGGCTCTCTGCTCAGCAGGGAGCCTGCTTCCCCCTCTCTCTGCTGCTCCCCCTGCTTGTGATCTCTGTCAAATAAATAAATAAAATCTTAAAAAAAAAAAAAAAAACACTCCAACTGACTTCAGAGCCATTTCTTTTTTTCTTTTTAAATTTTATTTATTTATTTGACAGAGATCACAAGTAGGCAGAGATGCAGGCAGAGAGAGGGGGAAGCAGACTCCCTGATGAGCAGAGAGCCCAATGTGGGGCTCAATCCCAGGACCCCGGGATCATGACCTGAGCCCAAGGCAGAGGTTTTAACCCACTGAGCCATCCAGGCACCCCACAAAGCCATTTCTTATCTTCCTCCACCACCAGCCCTCTCATTCCAGTCATGCTAAACAACTTTGAAGCTCCCCAGAATGTATTCTGTTTTCACTATCAAAGGTTCCCTTGCTAAAGTAGCTTTCCTAGAATGGCTCCTTCTTCCTGAAGGCCGGGCATGGATTCCCTTTCTGCGTTTCCCATGATAGCTACCTCATCATGGGGCTACAACACCACTGTAATAGTCAACTCGTCAGTTTACTACAAGCTTCTAAAGGCAAAATGTCTGATTTCTGTACCTATACTGACATGGAGGAAGGGGCTAAATAAATATTTATAAATCTCAGTCTCGAAAAGGCCCTCAGAATTAACTCTATGTCTTCCTTCATCCCTTCACCGAATGCCTGTTATCCTGTGTAACCAACTGCTAAGGGAATGTCCAGCCTCTTGAACACCACTGATGATGGGGAAGTCGCTTATTAAACACCGACGTCAGCAAGGCCTCATTCTGGACATACACGCAGAATTCACTAGAAGGAGCTCACAGCTCACAGTCTGTTGACACCTCATCTGACAAGAAGATCAAGTCCCTGCTGTGGCTGTGGAGGGAAGTTGCTGACTTCCAGATTTGTCACTGGTTTCAGAAACACCTAGCAGAAAGAGCACTGGGGGAAGGGGTGCAGGTGCCTGCTGGAAATGAGTCTGGGAACAATAAAGTTGGGTCATTTTCATATCGTTAACATAGCTAGGACTTCTCCAAACTCTTTTTGCCCAACTTCTGTCTTCAATGTTTAAAGCTCCAGAATCACCACATTGTCAAAAAGCAAAGTCTAATGGGACCATTTTGCCCTAATTCCAGGAAAGTCTAAGAGAACAGAGAAAATGTAATTAAAGTCAATTATTTTATTGAAGGAGAAAGTTACACAAATATTAACTGACTGCTGGCAAAGGGAAGAAACGTGTTGGAAGTCAGGTATGTTGGCAGATGAGAGAGCGTATCTAAGGTTCCACCCAACAAATATTCAGAATCAGGGTTTCCGTCTTTCTCCGTAGGTCACTTCCCATTCAAAAGATTCTGGAGACCAAATGAGGTAAGATTCTTGCAGGTAAGACCTTTAAGTCTTTAGGTCTTCTCTCAGCCATGGCATCCAGAGAAAGGATACAGGCAAACCTCAGAGATACCACAGATTTCGTTCCAGACCACCAAAATAAAGCAAGTACCACAACAGAATAAGTCAAATGAATTCTTTGGCTTCCCAACACATATAAAAGTTATGTTTATATAATATTGTAGTTTATTACATGTACAGTAGCATTATGTCTAAAGAACAACATACATGCCTTACTTAAAAAATACTTTATTGCTAAAAAGTGCTAACCGTATCATCTGAGCTTTCAGCAAGTCATAATCTTTTGCTCATGGAGGGTCTTGCCTCAACGTTGCTGCAGCTTCTACACCAGCCCTTGCTGCTTCACCATGCACTTGTAGGTCCTAGGGATGGCTTCTTTCCTTTAAACCTCACAAACCAACGTCTTCAACATTTTCTTCTGCAGCTTTCTCACCTGTTAACCCTCACAGAATTGAAGAGTTAGGACTTTGCTCTGGATTAAGCTTTGGCTTAAGGGGATGTTTGATCTTCTGTCCAGAACACTGAAACAAGGCTGTTTCGCTTTCTTAACGTTTTTGTGTGTTCACCGGAGTAGCACTTGTAATTTCCTTCAAGAACTTTCCCTTTGCATTCACAACTTCACCGACTGGTGCAAGAGGCCTGGCTCCAGCCTATCTCAGCTTTCAACGTGCCTTTCTCACCGAGCTTAATCATGTCGAGCTTTAGACTGAGAGTGAGAGATGGCAGACTCTTCCTTTTACTTGAACACTGAGAGACCATCATCATAGGATTACTAACTGGCCTAATTTCAATATGTTGAGTCTCAGGGGAGAGGGAGGCCCAAGGACAGGGAGAGATGAGGGAATGGCTGGTTGGTAAGCAGTCAGAATACATACATTGATTAAGTTCACGGTCTCATATGGGCACGCTTGTGGCACTCCAAAACGATTACAATAGTAACATCACAGATCACCATAAGAAATATGATAGTGATTATAAAGTTTGAAATACTGTGAGAATTACAAAATGTGATACAGAGACACAAGGTGACAAATGCTGTTGGAAAACGCGCCAATAGACTTGCTCGACGCAGGGTTGCCACAAACCTTCAATTTGAAAAAATGCATTATCTGCGAAGCTCAATAAAACGAAGCACAATAAAACGAGGTATGCCTCTAATTTATTTTTCAGATTCCTCTGTGGGATTAAAAAGTCTTTTTCTCATCGCATTGCCATGCTCCCTGCTCTTGGTCCTCTTTTCCATGTACTGGAAAATAAAAGGAAGGGGGGAGAAAAGAGACAGCAATTATATTACCATTAGTATCAGCTGAGTTAAATATTTTAAAATATTTGCAAAATAGTTTTTGCTGATAAAATTCTCATTTGTCTTTTATTTCACTGAATCTGAAACTGCAAACACAGTACAGCATCTATATCCTAACAGGTGTACAAATATTTACTGAATTAATTTTCTCCCAAAATATGAATTCAGTAAATATTTAAGATGAGTGAGTTTTATCCCTGTTCTGCAGGAACTCACAATCTATCGAAGTCATCTAATCTCTGCTTGAACACTTCTAGTAATGGGCAGCTCACTACCTGAGGTAGCCTGTTTGTTGGACACTTCTACTTGTTCCAAAGGTTTTTTTAATGTTGAACCAGTAAGTGTTTCCCTGTAAATTCTCCTACTGCCCTCCATTTCTTCATGCAAATATCTGATTACAGAAAACCCACTTACTACCTCTGTTTCTAGGCCGAGCATTGCTGGTTTCTACAAAGGACCACAGAACATGGCTTCTGCCTTCTAATAGCTACCACGTACCATTTATAAGGTGCTTTAATATCAATATCCCTTATAAAAACTATCACAACCAGAATTAAATACAGTGCTCCATGCAGTCTGTCAGATGTGGACTACCGAGGACCTACTAGTTCTTACGACCTACGCATTTTATTTCTATAAATATTATCAAGAGTAACTGGCTCTTGGCAACCACATTATCCTATTAGTTTACATGGAAATCTATATTCGGCTGAACTTCCCAGGATTTTTTCATTACGAATAGCCATCAAACAGGATTCTCTCCAAATCCTACATTTCTGCAGTCGGTTGGATCTAAGTGCAGTTTTCACCTTGGAGGTTTTCAGCCTTGTATTTGGATCTGGCCAGAAGGTTATAAGTAACAGGAAATACACAGCCTGGCACTTAGAAAAAGCACTTGTTTAAAGCAGAGAAACGTGAATATAAGTGCTTTTGTATGGATATATGTACAGACTTAAATACACCGACAGATATATTTTAAAGGTGAATGAAGGAATCACTTTTTCCTTTTTCCATAGGAACCCTAGAAAAAAAAATAAAAGTAAATTCAAGTTGAAAAAACTAAGTATATGTGAACAGCTAGACATCAAAATCTTTTAGGATCCAGAGATATGGGAAAAGGCCGCAGTAATTAAAAGCAGTGACAGAGAGCTGAGCAGGAACTTGACTGGGCCCCCTGCCCAGACACCTGAGGCAATGCTGGGAAGGTTCGTGTTTACTGCATCTTCGGATCTCGTAACCTCAAATAAGGGGAGCTAAGCTAGATCATCTTTAAGAAGATTTCTAGATCTAAAGTTTTGACTGAAGAGTTCTAACAGCCTCTGGAATGATAGTTTTCAAATTTTTTTTTTCTTCTTCATCAAAGGGCCACTTCAAATTGCAGATGAAACACCAGGTCCCTTTAACCAAAATCATTCCTTTTATCTGTCACTCAATAATTTTCCTCTAAAGATTGTTGGGGGAAAGGGTATTCGTCATTTTAAAAACCATTTTTTTTTAAAGGCACTGTTCTAGAACGTAATGGGATACCTACTCTGAGAAAAATATTTGGTATCGATCTTGAATCACATATACCAGACTGCCTCCAGTAATCAGGCTGGGAGGAGGGTCTTAAGGGTAAATCTTCAGAAGATGATACGTTAGAGGCAGACAAAAAAAAAAAAAAAAGTTAAAGAGCAAATTAAAATATAATCTCTGTTAAAATGTATGTTAAGATATTCTCAAAGGGAGTCCAGATGGCCTTTGAATAAAAGAAGAAAAAAAAAGGATGAATATGATGTTATTCACAAAACTTCACTGAACAACAAAACCAAACCAAACCGAATCAAAAAATTAAGAGGGATGAAATACAATTAGTGAAATAGAAATTTCACTATGAAATAGAAATTAGTGAAAAAGAACAAAAGCACAACACAGCAGCAAAGAGAGGCTAATAAGGGAACTGGCCAGACCCTTCTTCTAGTTGAAAGCGCCAAGGAATGAAGTACTCAAAGGGCATGTGAAGGGGATGGTTAGAGGAGCGCGAGAGGCAGGAAATGGTCAACTAGAAAGCATTAAAGGCAGAGAGGAAATACATGAGCACAGGTTCAGAGGACCAGAGGAGGAAAGAACAGACAAAAACATCTATAAATCAGGTAATAAAGTGACATAAAAACCACACTGAGGACTTAGAAAATACGTCAAGGAGAAAATCCAAAATTTATATGAAAACAAACTCAAAGTAAGAAAAAGATATACAGCATTCTACCAAACAGTTGCTAAGAGCTCAGGACCACCTGGGAAGAAAATTCTGAATAAAGATCTAATCACCAAACCAATGGCAAAAATTAGCAAACTGTAAGAAGAAAAAAAAAAATCTAAACTTAGGAAAAAAGCAATCTAACACAACTGAAAATGTGAGAAATAAACATTTGTACTGAGTAAAGTAGTGTGGGCTTCATTTTCTCATCCTCTGTTAAAAGGGGAACAAAGCCCTAGGTTCAGTTTTCATACAAACTAGCTTTACATGTAAATATGAAGAAAAACTCTTTAAAAATCAATTTAAAACACTTCTATATGGGGCGCCTGGGTGGTTCATTGGGTTAAAGCCTCTGCCTTCAGCTAAGTTCATGATCCCAGAGTCCTGGGATCAAGTCCCGCACCGGGTTCTCTGCTTCCTCCTCCTCCTCTCTCTCTCTCTCTCTCTCTCTCTCCCTGCCTGCCTCTCTGCCTGCTTGTGATCTCTGTCAAATAAATAAATAAATAAAATCTTAAAAAAAAAAAATACCAAACCACTTTTATATGTACACATTTGTGCAAAGAAATTTACAACTCTGAATTCAGAACTCTAGAAAGTTCTTCAAACGGTAAAGACATTGGAAAGGGATTCTGGGAATGGAGAGGAAAAAAAAGCTTGATTCAAAAATACAAAAGTTGAAGATAGATAATTGCTGCACAGCTTCAAATATTATACCTTTCAATATGAGGCTAATAGGAAAAAAATTCAAAAATACAGAAAAGGAAAGAAAACAGGAAGGCCGGTTTTTAGTATAGATTTTTAAAGGTTTGAGACATAAAACAACTGATGAACAGAACAGAAATGGAGTTAACTTTCTTTTCAAAAGCACTCTGCTATATGCCCAAGTCAAAGTCATGGCCTAAAACCGGGTCCAGGAAATGAGTCTTTCCAACCAAGTCAAACTAGATCCGCATGGCTCGTACATGCCATGGTTATGAAGAAATTCATAATTTTAGACCAGTAAGGAGCCCAAGTCCAGGTCCCACCATGTTCTATGAGGAAATAGAGGCCCAGAAAGTGTTAGTTACCTGCTATAGCTAAGAGCTGATTTACCGATGTCTTTCTACTATACAAACTCAGTTTCCTAGCCCTTACAATTCATCCAGAGGAGATACAATGATTATAATAAGGAAACTGTTTTCATTTATGTGCATGGAAAAAATTTAAAAGTAATGTCTTTCATTTCTCCACTTGGTTTTAGGAGAGGACATACATATAAAGTGTTAATTCTCTCTGTTATACTAAAATTTGGAATAAAAATTAGTAATGGGGGTATTCTAAATATTGCTCAGAAAGGTTCTATTCTACTGTTCAACCACTTTCATCCTCTAACACTTTTCTTACCTCATTCTTCAAGCATTTTCTCATCTCCCGATCGAGATCATTGCAATGACCAAAAAATTTCAGAATGCTGTGCTAAAAGGAAGAAGAGGGGTAAAATATTTCATCCCATAATATACTAAGGTCTCTGGCACATAGAATTTAAATACTTATTCTAGAAATAAATGGAATATTTTGGAAATATTTACAGTTAATGTGTCACCACCTTGTTAAAAAGCAAAGAGTTAAATCACAGGTATAAAACATACAAATAAATGGACTTATCCTGGCCTTCTTAAAAGAAGGGATAAATGCTTTATAGATAGAAATGAAAATTAAAAAGACCTCTCCTTGATAAAATGGAAGCCTATTAACCTGCCCAAACCTTACAATGACAGAATATAAACAATTCTGTTTTCTAATACCCTTTTCTTTAAGGGCAGGTGAAAATCACAGCACAACCATCATCTATCACAGGAAGCGATGTCAAAGTGTGGGGTGGCCATATTAACATGACCAGTGACTTCTTCATTAGCAAACATTCTGTCCCTTTGAAGAATTACCCAATAAATGCTCGGGGCAAACACTGATTTTCTCATTTGCCTCCATCCAAAATGTCATCAAAATATATCAGAAACACATAACACCATTACTAAATGGCCTATATGGGCCATGTAAGTAACCCACTAATCCAAAATGTAAGAAAACCTAGATCTAAAGTTCAAAGTCTGCTTTCTTTGCCAAGAAAAATAAAAATCTCCTAGTGATTTCAAGGCCTATGACAATTAGCACAGCAAAAAGTATGAATGCTCTGAAGCAGATTAAGATGAAGAATGAAGTCAAGAACACGAATTTTAGTCGGGCTATAATTAGTGTGTTTGCATATCACGATTTTTAAGGAATGGGTAAGACAGCATGGTGATGTCCTATAATGACATGCCACAAGTGCTGAACTTGTAATAATAAGCACCTTTTCCTTTTCTTTCTAATTAAGGCTTTCATGAAACCAGACAACACGTAATTAATAAGCTGTGCCTTATGCTAATCCTTTCTTTCCCTGCCACTGTAAATGTCCTTTTCTGGTCCACAGTGGAAAAATGGGTCATTTTTTTCTGGCAAGCATTTAAGGTAAACTAAGATCTACTACTGGTCCCCTAAGGACCTTTTCAGAATAACTATTTCCTATGTATTTTTCCTAAACTATTTCCTTGGCAACAAATGAACAGGAACCATGCATTTTCACACACCTTCTGGTGAAGCAGAACAGAAAGGATCAGACTTTCAGAATGTAAGGCAGTATTTCATAGTTTGGTTTACATGGACTCATATCATCCATAAACAGACATCTTATTTTTAAATCCAAGACAGAAGCTCTTTTTTTTCTTTCCCAACATTTAAACCCAAAGAAGAATTATACTCTTGTGACATTACATGAAAAACAAACCCAAAGTGCTCCATTGGAATTGGTTTATGAAATGCCTGGGGTCTACATTTCTCTTGTACACACATGGCATAAGCCTCTAGTGTGCGATGTCTATGTCTAGAGAACCAAACTAACTGAGCAATTGATTGAATAAATGAATCAATCAACTGATACCTTGAAGACAATGTACCAAGCACCAGGGATACAGCAATGAGGAAGGTGCACCTGGGCCCTACTCGCAGTACATGGTCAGAGGCAAGAGCCAGCTAACAACATGATTCCTATAAGGTAGTAGTTTTCCAAGTGTAGTCCAAGGACACCCACGAATTCCCAAGACCTTTCCAGGCATGTACACGGTAAAAGCAATTATCCTGATAATCAAAGATCTTATTTGTTTTGTTCATTTTCATTCTCTCACAAGGCTACTGTGGAATTTTCCAGAGGCTGCACAAAGGGCAATATCACCAAAGACTGAACATAAGGCAGATAGGAGGATCTGGCTATATTCCATTAAGCCAGGTATGAGAGAACTGCAAAAATGCAAAACTAATGCCATTCTTTTCACTCTGTTTTGGAAAATAAGGTTTTTTACGAAAACTTACTACATTAACATGTATTAGATTTATTATTATATTTTTATATAAATTTATATTATTAATTCCTCAGTTTTAATTTCTAATTCAGTGAATATTAGTAGCTATAGCCCACATACACGAAAGTTATTTGGGGTCTTTAATAAAGCATAAAGGAGTCATGAAACCAAAAAGTGTGAAAACTATCTTAAAGTAGGAACCATGTGACGTGTGGGGTTACTGGAGTACAGAGTGGCTACACTAAGAGAATGCAGGCCAGGAAAGGAGAAAAGGAAGAGGAAGTAACAAGTGACACTGAAGCAAACCTGAAGGATGAGGAAATTTGGTCTAGCACACAGGAAGTGAGACAGTGGGAAGGGCTCTGAGACCAGCAAGGAGAAAGCAAGCACAAAGGCTTAGAAGAGGGAAGTGTGTTGCCGCACAATTGCACACAGGAGCACACAGGAGCAAGCAGAAGAGGTGCAGGAGGGTGGTAAGGCCCACGGGGTTAGTAGGGGACAAGTCCGTGAAGGCCCTGAACCAACACAAAATAAGAAATTCAGATGTGATAACTTGCAGGCAAAGAGGGAAACAACGATTCAGCTTACATTTGAACATCACTCCAGTCAAGTGAAAGGGGACAGAGAAGAGGACAAAACGGTCAGGGGGCCAGGGTGGCCCCAGCTAAGATAACACTGGAATTAACTGGTGTTAAGAATAGACACATAAATCAGTAGAAGAGACTACAGAGCCCAGAAACAGACCCAGCCACATATGGTCAATTGATTTTTGACCAAGACAGCACGATAATTCAGTACAAAAAGGATGGTCTTTGCAACCAATGGTGCTGGAACAACAATATCCATAGAGAAAGAAATACTGGCTCATACCTCACACGATACACAAAAATTAACCTGAAATGAATTACAGCCCTAGATGTAAAAGTTAAAACTCTACAACTTCCAGGAGGAAATCTCCACGACTAGGAAACATACAAGATCTTTAAAAGGAAAAACAAACAAACAAACTCCCACAAACCCACAAACCGTAAGAGAAAAAAAACCTGGTTATTAGGTCTCATCAAACTTAAAAACTGCTCTTTGAAACACAACCTTAGGAAAATGAAAAAGGATGCCACAGACTAGGAGAACATATTCACAACACACTCATCAAAGGACTTGCATGTCGAATGAAAAAAAAAAAATTCTTAAAATTAAATAATAAAGCAAACAACCCAATTTTAAAACACGGGCAAAAGAGAAAAAATAATAAATAGATAAAATTCAAATTAAAAAAAATAAAATATGGGCAAAAGACTTTATATGAATGGCCAATAAGCACATGGAAAGATGCTCAAAAACTAGCCATCAGGGAAGTAAATCTAAAACCAAATGAGACACTACTGCATACCCATATAATGATTAACGTTAAAAAGACTATCAATTCTTGATCTAGATGTATGCTGAAAAGAATCTGCCTAACTTATACGGTCAAACAACAACATTCTTCGAACCAACAAAAATATCTAACTTTAAAGGTCATAGGTATTACTCATTACATTACCATTAGTCTTCAAATTTCACTCATTTAAATGATACTTATTATTAAATTTGATATATCTACAGTTTATGAATATCATGAGGAAAATAACACATCATGAAAAGTTAAAGAAAAACAGACATTCTCCTTATAACCGTCTCACTTATCAAGTATATGAAAAAAGCTAAACAGTTAACATCTGTAAAAATACCAGCTTAATTTAATGATTTCCAAAAATGAGCTTCCTTTCTATTTTTGGTTTAAACCACAGAATTTTACTCCCATTCCACTAACAAGTGAGCAAATCTGCCAAATTAGGCCAATCATAGTTTAAATCTAGCTAACATCTATTATAAAAAATGTTTCAATCTCCTTTAAACACAGAATGGTAGACATCAAAGAAAATCTTAGAAAAATCTTAAAATAATTCCATTATGATCAGAAGAGTCAGAATTTAACATAACTGTTCTAGTGCCCTATAATACAAAAAGACAAAAACAGTATTTTATGGTAAGAAAATGGATTCCAACTATTATATATTATTTCAGAAGTTCCCTAATGAACCACCATGCTTGATTTTTACTAATCAAGAAAGGAGATGGTGCCTTGAAAATCACAAGCATCAGGTACTAATCTTTGGTAAACTAAGATCCACTATATTACCATTCCTTTCCATTAGTGGAGATAACATTTTATATCAGTGTGTTGTACTTAAGTTTCATTTTTGCTTTATGGTCATTTTTCTGAACTCTTACATTTTTGTGACATTCCTTAAGTAAGTTAATCAAGACGTTGCATTCTTCAGTGTGCAAGTGTGGAGATAAGTCAGGATGCATCTTTAGGAGGTGACGGAGCACAGCAGAGCAACCTGTGGATACAAGAGTGTCTTGAATATGTGTGACTGTATTTGTTAATGCGACCTAAAACTATTTCAGTAAAAACGTGCAGTGAGCTTTATCAGAAAACAATGTTGACCTCTGGCAAATTATTAAACCTGAGCCTCAGCTTCCTTATCCAACAATTTCACAGATTCAGCAAGCCACCAGGTGTTGTTTGGAGAACCTGCAGGTTCAGAAAAAAGCAGAAGTCCTCAAGAGACCCAATCCTGGAAACAAGTGCTCCAGTAGAAACAGCTAGCCTATATTAACAAGCCTGATCTCAATTATTTCCCCCACATAACCTGAAACTAACTACAACTCCTTTTGTTCAGATGAAATTCTAAGAAGTAAGAGAATTGGTTTATTAATCCTTTTAAAATGCATATTCCTGAGGGAGAGGGCTAAAGCCTCATTAGCCAATCTCACGTTAATGTCAATTCACATGGACTGCTTTCTTATTCCCAACATCTGGCTGAGAAAAATCCAACTAGACAATGAAGAGAAACAAAAAGCAGATGGGAAAAAAGTTTTTCATTTTAGCAGAGATAGCCATAAAATGCAATTATTACAATGAAAGGAAGAAGCTGAATTCCAGAAATTAAATTTATCACAAAGTAGAAAATCAGCAGCCAACGTCAAAGGAAAAACATTATTTTGAAATGTCTGCCACAGTTACGTAGTACTATTTACCTATTCTTTCCTTTAACCTACTGTTTTTAACTTGGAAAACATTACCAAAAAAAAAAAAGAAGAAGAAGAAGAAGAAGAAGAACCAATTAATTCTTTTAATCTACAAGTTTCAAGAAAGAAAACCTAAGAGAAAATAATGACCTTAGTTGGGCAAAGAGTTCTTTAGATAGGTCAAAAGCACGATTCACAAAAGAAAAAAATTGGTACAATCTTATCAAACTTAAAAAAACTTTCTCACTTCAAAATACACCATTAAGAAAGTGAAAAGACACAGGGATGAAAAGCACAGCATAGGAAATGTAATCAATAATACTGTAATAGATTTATTGTGGTGAGCATTTCATAATGTATATAAATTTTAAAAAAAAGGAAAAAAAAAGCCAAGCCACACTTTGGGTGATAATGACGTGTCAATGCAGGTGCGTCAGTGGTAAAAACACAGGACTCTGGTGGGGGATGCTGACAGTGGGGAAGGCTGCACATGTGTAGGGCAGGGGGCAAGTGGGATCTCTGTACTTTCTGTTCAGTTTTGCTGTGGACCTAAAACTGCTCTAAAAAATAAATAACCTACAAGCTACAGACTAGGAGAAAATATTTGCAAATCATATATGAAAAAGGACTTGTTATCTAAAATATATAAAGAATGCTTATAAACAACCCAACATTTAAAAATGGACCCAAAAAACAGCCAAAAGATTTGAATAAATACTTCATAGAAGATGATACAGGAATGGTTAATTAAGCACAGGAAAAAATGCTAAACACCAATAGTCACAGGGAAAGGCAAACTAAAACCACAATGAGATGTTAACTACACATCTGCCAGAACAGCTATAATCAACAAGTCAGACAATAACAAGCATTAGTTAGGATGCAGAGAAAACAGGCCTCATTGCATTGCTAGTGGAAACGAAAACTAGTACACACTTAGGAAAGCAATTTGGCAGTGTCTTAAAGGAGTTAAACACAAACTTACCAAATGACCCGGACCACGGAAACTGCACTCTTAAGAATCTACCCAAAAGAAATGAGAACACATAGGCACACAAAGACATGTATACGAATATTCACAGCATTATTCATTATAACCAATACTGGAAACAATCCAAATATCCAATAACCTGGTAACTGGACACACAAATATGGTGTATCTAGACAATGGAATACTACTTGGAGAGGAAAAGGAATGCACTGATACAGGCACCAACATGGGGGAACCTCAAAAGCACCAAGCTAAATGAAAGAAGCCAGATTCAAAAGACTATACGATTCCATTTATGTGCAATGTCCAGAAAAGGCAAAACTGTAGAGAAAAAAAAAGCTGATGGGTTCCCTGGGCCTGAAAGTGAGAGTGAGGATTATTTGCCTTTGGGCACAAAGTAGTATTTCTACGTGATAAAAATGATTTAGAATAGGATTGTGGTAATGGTTGCACAATTGCAGTTCACTAAAATCACTGAACTCACATACAATGGGTGAATTTTATGATACGTAAATCGTACCTTAATAGAACTAATACCAAAAAGTTCAGGAAATTCAAAAGGCCTATCTACCTTCTACTCACAAGTAAAATCCTTAAAAATATCTAAACAAATTAATTCCAGAGAATTACAGTCTGCCTACTATTGCAGAACTCAATTTATAAAAATATCGGTAGATCACTATTCCATTGAGTGACTTCCAACTGAGCACACCCACTCAAGGACACACGTGCACACACACACACACACACACACACACACAGCATACCACAGCTGAAGATCACACATAGGGCCGTTGGGGCCAGCTAAGTGTTTGAAATGGAAATTGGAAATGCAGCCAAGTTCAAGTTTGGTTTGCCCGCCACTAACTGCAAAATCTTTTTAATGACATAATCTTTTTGCCTCAGAAAAACAAGATCTCATATAGTCTAGCAATTTAAACCATTTAATATTATACCAATATATCACATTTACACCTATTAGTTATCTGGTTATCTGATTTCTGCCTCCCTTTTTTCTGAAGGAAGATGTATACTGGCTTAGCCACCTAGAAAATGTCTTTATATTTTGTAAATATATTTGACAAAAAATTTTTGCATATTTCTATCAACCAACCCTCAAATGTACACTTTCACAGTTTGGAAACGAGCTCACAATGTACTGAAATGACCTGGTTAATTGGTAAATTAAATACTCTAGAAGACACTTGGCTGGTGGGATAAATACTGCACATGGTATACAAGTATAAATGCATACGTATCATGATGTATATTTTTCCTCCCTCTATTACAAAAGTTTATGTCACTGTAGACCCAGCCAGGGCACCAATAAGACGTCTTCCCTTCTACGTACTTATCCAACATAACTACGTTCAAGAAGAAAATGGGTTTCATACGGTTTCCTTTTCCTAGTCTTCTTGGTAAAAAGCTAAGCTACTACTTAACTTACAGTTCTAAACACTGGCCAAATTCCTTATCTAACAAATTCCTTGCCTTACCAGTCATTCCCTTCTTTCCTTCAATCCTATCTTTTTAGTGATATATGCTTTTCTTCTTTCCCTCGATTCACCCTGTACCCACACTCCCTCCCAGCACCCAATGTCCTCTGGTTTCTTGTAACCGTTGGTGCACACACAGGTGTATTCCCAGACTCTCTGGTGTTAATCTACAAAGCACAGCTATAAAATGATGGCACTGCTCTTAGAACACAATGATGTGAGTGCTGGTATCTTCCAGTAGTCATCTTTAAAAGCCTATTCTAATCAGCATTATTATAACTTGAAGTAACTTACGAACTGAAGAAAACGAAATGTATATTCCATATTCTTTTAAGATTCCTTCAAAGCCATAAGAATATATCTACATTATTAGTGTTGAAAATAATTTGTTAAACATTTACCACACACTAGGCACAAGTCTTACAATCCTTCCACAACTGTAGCAAGTAGGTACCTTTATAAATTCAGTGAAACCATAAGAAATTGCCTTTTTGTAGTTCAAATATGCATTACTCACATTTTCATAGTAAAACTAAGCCCCAGGTCACATAGTAAGTGGTAGAGTTACTACCCAATGCAATCTCTCACCAGGACAGATAATTCCCATTTTCAAAATAGGAAAGACATGCCTTCCCAGCAGTCTGTGTAAGAAATAAATAAAGAGAGTGAAAACTATTTCCCAAAGACCCTCTGGTCGGTTACAAGTTCAACAGACAATAATTCTAGGCCTATCTTCCAAAGAAGTCAATGTAGTATTATCCTGTCTATCTCCCTCAAGAAAAAGAACAGTACTATGTTTGTCCTGATCGGTCCAGTCCCAAATATTGGCAAAGTAAATATCTGGAGAGAGTGCTCAGGATTAAGATGGCTTTGACTCTAGGTTTAAACAGGAAGCCATTAATGAAACTGGGAATATTTGCCAATTTAGGGAAGTGCACATCAGAGGAGACAGATAAACAACCTGGTTCAGTAAGACAATCAAAAGTTGTAAACTTATCGGTCCGTAAATTATAACACTTTGGTTACTTAATCTGAGACTAAGTCTCTTCTTCTGTAAATTGGAATTAGCTCTTGACCTGTATCTCTGGGTGGTCCTGAGGTTTAAGATAACATATGTGGGAGAATCTGAAATAGTGAGCAGTGAGTGTGACATCTGTAAAGTATTATTTGTATATCTGAAATACTCTGTCATATGATGGGAAAGCCTGAACTGAATTTACAGCAGTGTTTCCAAGGCATTTCCCAGGACAGGACTGGAAAACAAAGGGCGAATGTTAACAAAGGCAGGTGTCCTCTTCCTGGAGCTGTCCAACAAGGAAACAGGCTGCTATGTAAAGTTCTCGGTTATCTGTCCTCATGTACCCCAAGGAGACTGGCTACATCAATTATAGATGCCACAGCGTATTCTTGCATTGCATTAAGCTTCTTCTCAAGCCTAAGTTCATAACTAAATGATTTTAACCTATTTCCAAAAATAAAATTCAGTCAATGGATAAAAAACCTGTCACCACTAAAAATACACGGAACAATTCCAAAAGGGTAGTAACAAAATAATTAACACCAGGTGCGCTGCTAAACAAAGGTGAAGGGAACATTCATTTGTGCTAAGACTTCATGCATGGGTGTTTGTATTAACAAAAAGGGATAAATTCCATTCAAAATGTTATCATTTAAACACAAAACTTCAGTCCCACCTTTACTTTGGCATTTATCAGAAGGGTTAACTTGTCACAGTTACAATGCCTCCCTCGCCACCTCAACTCCACCCATTGCCTGAATGAAGTGTGCACACATTTATACCAAAAGAGCCACTGAAACTCTAAAAGATGTTCAGCTGGGACAAGCTGATCGTTCTGTAACTGGGTGACAGGTCTCTGCAAAGCAATCTGAACTTGTATTTGGGGGTAAGCTGGGAGAACAGAAGCAGTATGTTACTCACACTAAAGGCATAACAATTATAGGCTTATTTAATCACTCCTTCACCTTATTCTACCAACTCTGAGCTAAAATTTTCCTGAATATTCCATGATAGACAGATTTCAACCACCAGGTGGCACCATTTTAGAAAATAAACCAAGAGTAACCAAGACCTTAACCCTGGTAGAGAAAAAGCAGTAAGCATTCTAAAACAGTTCAGCAAATCTTTAGTCACAAGGAGGAAACCCCTTATTTTAATGCCACTTGGGTTTTCTTTCAAAAGATTCTGCTGTTTGGTGTCTGCACCAGAAAGAAATTTACACTACGCTGCAATTTCTGATGTCATTTTTAAACAAACAAAAAAAGTCCAGAAAAGTCTCTTGTGCAAAGTCTGAAGAAGCTGTTCTCTAGGAAAAACTGTGAACTTAACACTTAATGCTTAATGCTTTGTAAAACCTATCTTTTTTAAAGTCTACTTCAAAGAAAGCACTGGAATTAGTTAAAATAGCATTTCTGCAACTATGTCAAACTACGCACCATATTCAGCAGAGGCAGCAGACATAGCAGGGTATACTACCTACCTTACCTTTTCATTTGCAGGTGCAAAGTGACCAAATCTAAACCTATGCTCTTGAGTGACTAGTGCTCCCAAATACAGACCAGGCCATATAAAATCAGTCCATATACCCCAAAGAACACACAGGCTAGTGAAGGAATATTGTTGTAAATATACACAGTAAATGCCCAATTAATGTTTGCCAAATCTTGAATTTAGGATTATTACAGATCTGAGAATTGGTTCACACCTCAACATAGTTAAAAAAAAAAAAAAAAAGACGAAAATAAGGCTCATTTGAAATAAACTAAGCAGGTGCAGAAGCCTGTATGTATGGAAAGGAGTTACAAGGGGCGTCACAACGTAAGTTGGCCAGTGCGAACTTCTTTTATGCACTTAAGATTTTAGGTTTCCAGAACTCAGATTTACTAGCACCTACTGTGAACCTACAAGCACGGTGATTTTTAAACCCAGTGAAAGGGATCTGAATGTCTCCTTTCCTTCAAAAGTGTACTGATGAGGATCTCACCGGATTCCCACTTCGCAAGACAGACTGGGGGCAACTTTGCAGCTGAGATGTGCCGTAACAAGGCCCCCACCGTCCACAAACAAATGCTAAACTCCCAGCTGGTAACAATAATAATCCTACAGTTCCGTGAGCGCTCACCGTACCAAACTCTGGGAAGGGCTTCCCTTCTCACCGTCGATGCCGTGGGTTACGACCATTTTACTAGCGTGGAAGCCGAGGCTCAGGGAGGGGAGGAGCCCGCCCGGGATCACTAGGCTCGCGAGTGGCGGGACAGACTGCAGCAGAGTGAAAGGTCTGGGCCAAGCATGCCCTAAACTACCCGCGCGTCCTCAGCAAGTGCCTGAGGGCTGAGAGCCCCGGACAGACCTCCAGCCCCCCGCGCAGTGGACTGCCGGCGAGCTGAGAGCCACCATCACCCTGAAGACCAGCGGCTGGACCTTCAGGGTCCCCACCTCGGAGAGCGGAGGGGGCGGGGGGGTGGCAACGGCGGGGCGCGCGCCAGCAGGGGACGGGAGGAGGGACAGGTGCGTGTCCCGCGGCCTCCCCCGGACACCGCGGCCGAGAAGAGCGCGTTCCTCGGAACGGCCCGGACTGCCGAGACTCACCGGACTCGCGGCCACAACAGGAGGGCTGAAGCGACAGTCACCAGCGAAGACTCCCCATTCAAAAGACGGCAGTCAGGACGCTGGAGCTGAGCCACCTCCGGGTGGCGAAGGCTCTCACGCCCTCCACAGCTGACCTCGCACCGCCTGACCAGCCCTCGCCGCTCCTGGCCTCTGAGGCGCATGCGCCACCCGGCCTGGATGGGCCCATTTTCGGGGGCTGTCGGGGAGGGAGAGCAAGTGTCCGGAGGAACGGTGGGGCCTAAAAACATCAACCCGAACCAACAAGCCAGATTAAAGGGGCCGAGAGTAACTGTATTTAACTAACGTTCTCCGCTGACAAGGGTGATGCGAAGATTCGGCGAGTTTCACTTCTGCCGCTCTCCCACGCGGTCCCCGTGCCCAGGGTACAGTCCAAGGAGAGCGCTCCGGGGGGCGGGGCTGGAGGGCGGCGGGAACTGCAATTGGTGGCTTTGAAGGCGCAGCGGGCGGGAAGAGCTGCTGAGAAGACACGGCTGGCGATGACTGACTGCAAGAGACCCGCGCGCGGCGTGGGATCGGGCCCTTGAATGTGGCGGGAGCTTTGAGGAAGCCACATCCCAGACCTGTGGGGCGACTTTTCCGCGACTGCCACACGTCCCAAGGTACGGATTTGGCGCTTGGCCTCAGGTGAGGGGTGGCGGACGACTGTTGAAGCTGGGATAAAAAAGGGTAGCGACGCTTGCACATGACGTCATATCCGCCCTCAGTGGGGCGGAGCCTTAACTGGATTACGTCCTCTCCGGAGCCCGCACCCGTTGTCACGTGATGGGCTGCTGTGCTTTCGGAGGCCTGGCTTGAGGCTCTGCTCAGAGTTGGATGTTTTGATTTTTTTTCTTTTTTTTTTTTTAATCGGGCTTGGCTTCCGTATTTTTTCCGTACATGCGGTTCTCGTGTTCTTCCTTATGGTCCAGTGGCAGATCCTCAGTGTAAGAGGAGATCTACAGAAAAGTATCCTGAAAGAGTTCTTTTTTGTCATGCGTTCGTTCATTCATTAAATGTCTTGAGCACCTGATATGTGCCAAGCGCTGTGCTACGAAGAGCCAGAAGTAAAAAGAAATTAGATAGTCACGGGGAATCAGCTGGGTTAACACAGGGTTTTACCAACCTTATCGGTGAGATTGAGTGCTCCTACCAGAAGTCTGTAGAAAGGCATTTCGCAAACTTTACCCGGAATTAAGAATCTTCTGAGGCATTCTAAAAATGCAAGATCTCAATTTTTTTTTTTTAAAGGTCTAGGGGTGCCTCGGTGGCTGGGTGGGTTAAAACCTCTGCCTTTGGCTCAGGTCATGATCTCAGGGTCCTAGGATCGAGCCCCACATCGGGCTTTCTGCTCAGCAGGGAGCCTGCTCCTCCTCTCTCTCTGCCTGCCTCTCTGCCTGCTTGTGATTTCTGTCTGTCAAATAAATATATAAAATCTTTAAAAAAAAAAAAAGCAGGGCCTAAAGCCCTACCCGGTGCCCGCCCACCTCCCAGTTTAAATAGATGGGGCCCGGGAATCTGCATTTTTACAAGCTTTCCCCCAAATCCAGTGTTTTCAATGACAGACGTTGGTTTAATATATCGCTGCTGGGCCCTAATTCTCACCAGGGTGCTTACGTCCCCAGGTACACTTAGGGATATAGCCATGAATAACCCAAACGTAGTTCCTAATCTAGTGGCTCAATATTGTAAAGCAATACAGTAATCAATAAACAAGATAATTTTAGGTAGTTCTGTAAAAACAATAAGCAATGGAAGGTGGGGAGTTACCTTTAGAATGGGTGGTCAGAGTAAGTCTCTCAGACTAGAAGGCATTTAAGCTCAGACCTCACTTACAAGAGCCACACATGTGAATATGTGCGAGCAAAAACTTCTAAGCCGGGGGTAACTGCAGGTACAATGACCTGTCTCAGGAAGGATCCTTTTGTACTAGAGGAACTCAAGGCCAATGTAGCTAGAGCTCAGAAAGCCAGGGAGAAAGCGGTAGGTCTGGGGAAGGAGGCAAGAAGCAAACGCAGGGCCTTGTAGACTGTGGTAAGGATTTTAGTTTTGACATTAAGGGAAGTTGGTCCTGTATCTGGATAAGAAAACAAATCAGGCTCAGCTATCATGATCTTGATTCTCTTCTCACATTCTTAATTCAATTATTTTACTCCTTCTTCACAACTCGTTATAGTTGATTTTTGTTCTAACTGCTGCTTTCAGTACCTTAAAATCTTGTTGACTATCATTATCTTTTTTGGAAGTGGGCAGTGGTGATAGATTATATGCAGCGTTCAACAAACACTCAAATGGTAAAAATAAGTCACACCCTGGATTCTTGTAGAGGGGTACTAGAGGCATCCTTCACCCTGTTCCTTGAAAGCCCCAGGGCTTTTGCACTTGCTGTTCCCTCTGCCTAGCAAGTTCTTCCACCAGCTAGCCATGTGGCTCAGTCTGTCCTTCAAATGTCCCCTTCTTTTTTTTTTTTTTAAAGATTTTATTGATTTATTTTGACAGACAGAGATCACAAGTAGGCAGAGAAGCAGAGAGAGAGAGAGAGAGAGGAGGAAGCAGGCTTCCTGCCGAGCAGAGAGCCCCATGCGGGGCTCGATCCCAGGATCCTGGAATCATGACCTGAGCCGAAGGCAGAGGCTTTAACCCACTGAGCCACCCAGGCGCCCCCAAATGTCCCCTTCTTTATGAGGACTGCTCACTCCACCCCCATATCATTCCCAGCCTGCTCCATTTTAACTACTATTAGTTTCCTATCTCTATTCCATTCTCTCTGCAACATTTAATCACATTTTATGATTTTCCTATTCCCTCTCTCTCCCCACTAGAATGGATGCTCCATACCACGAGGGAGTTTAGATTTTGCGATTAAAGATGTCACTGTCCCCAATGCCCACAAAAGTGCCTGGTACACACAGGTGCTCAGATTTTTCACGCGAATCAGTCCATGAACGAATGATTTACTTACCATTACCATCAAAAGATCAAAATACTCTAGCCAATCAAGGAGAGAGATGACTAATTTTTAAAACCTCCACAGCATATTTAAATATACAGCATAGGGCACCTAGGTGGCTTAGTTAGTTAAGCGTCTGCCTCTGGCTCAGGTCATGATCCCGGGTCCTGGGATCGAGTCCCATGTACAGCTCTCTGCTCAGCAGGGAACCTGCGTCTTCCTCTGCCTGCTACTCCGCCTGCTTGTGCACTCTCTCTGTCAAATAAGTAAATAAAATTTTTTTAAAAATTTTAAGTAAAAATAAGTATACAGCTTAAGGAGAAAATAGTTAAAATCTTCCTATTGAAACACTCTTTGCAGAGTGCCTAAAAAAAAGGTAAACATTTGGGTGTTTGACCTACAAATCAAAATCCTGGCTAAAAATAGGCTGAAAAATTCAGTTAAGTTAAACTTTTGTATTTGGTTCATACTTTGTTGTGCTGTTTTTGTTTTTATTAAAGTGCCAAAGAGATGGATGAAACCCTTGCCGAGTTTATCAAGAGGACCATCATGAAAATTCCAATAACTGAAATGATGTCAATCCTCAAAGCCTGGGATTTTTTGTCTGAAAAGCAGCTGCAGACTGTAAACTTCCGGCAGAGAAAGGAATCTCTTGTTCAGGATTTGGTTCTGCTCTGTGAGGTAACAGTGAGGGAAGCAGGGAGCCTGCTTCCCCCTCTCTCTGTCCGCCTCTCTGCCTACTTGTGATCTCTCTCTGTCAAATAAATAAATAAAATCTTAAAAAAAAAAAGTTAATAAAAAACTAAGAGGTATATATAAGTATTATAATTGATAACCATTTATATACCTAGATACAAATGTATAAATATTTATATATAAATAAAGATGTTAAACAGTCTTTTTTAAAAAACAAAAAATTGGAAACAGCTCTACGTAGGAGAATAAATAATGACACATCCATATAACAAAATATTCTTCAGACGTTAAAATGGATAAACTAGAACTTTACGTACAACATTGAGAAACACTATATACATGAAAATGTATGTCGTAGGGCAGCGGTTCTTAATTAGGACAGTTTTGTCTCCTGGAGAACACAATGTCTGACGATGTTTTCGGTTGTGAGACCTGTGGGAATGCTCCTGGCTTGTAGTGGGTCGAGGCCAGAACGTTCCTTAACATCCTAGGACAGCCTTCCACACACAGAGTTGTCCAACTAAATGTCAGTCATGCCCAGGTGGGATCCCCTGATGCAGAGGAAGTTTAGAAGGGTACCGCTGATCAAAAAACGAAACAGGAGGCTGGTAGGGGGGGAGTGGGGAGTGCCTGGACAAAGACACTCGGCAAGACAGCATAGACTGGACACAGTTCCTCAAGCAACCCTAAAATTACTGTGAATGGAGCAGAACCAAACCATCACCACGCTCATGAAATATTTTCTCTTTTCTTTCAGGAGAGGCGTGCAAGTATCCATGACGCTGCCCTTTTAGACATCATTTGTGAGTGTCGGTAATTTGTAGTTACCCTTCCCCAGTCCTGCTTCTTCCTTTTTTTTTTTTTTTTTTTAAGATTTTCTTTATTTATTTGAGAGAGTGAGCAAGTGAGAGAGATGGAACAGGGGGCGGAGCAGAGAAAGGAACAGAAGAAGAGGGAGAAGCGGAACTCCCTGATGAGCAGGGAGCCCCTCGATCCCGGGAACTTGGGATCATGACCTGAACCGAAGGCAGACACTTAACTAGCTGAGCCACCCAGATGCCCCTGAAGACCCCAGTCCTGTTTCATAAGTGAGGCCGTTCTGTACGTAAGGGCTGATTCTTCAGTCAGGTGGACCTAGTTTCGGTCCCTCCTGTGTCACTTACCAGTCCGTGTCCTTGGCCTGAGTCCCATCACCTTGCTGAGCCTAGACTCCTCCTAAGTAAAAGGAGAAAGCAGTCATACCTACTTCACACGGCGGCTCAGAGGCTTAAATAAGATAATGCTTGGAAAGCTCTTAGCACAGTCGCTGGCTACCGGAAGCACTTAGTAGATATTTGTTAGGCTTTGTTTTGTTATTAACAGAACTTGAAAATATATTTACAAGAATTTTTTCTTATTACAGTGTTTGTTATCTCCCCTCCCCTTCCCTTTCTTTGGGTTTTTCCCTTTGTGTCCTAGTTTTCTTTTCTGTATTTTTTTTAAGACGTC